ATCGTCGGCTCGGGAAGTCGTCGCTCTTGGCTGGTGTATATGTGGCCAGCTTGGAGGCGTGGAAAACTGGGTGCACCGTGAGATGCGGCGGGATTTCGATCACAAAGGAGGGGCCATCGGGCTCATCGCCCGCGGCTGATGTGACGGGCCATCGTCCAAACCACTTTGGAAGTAGCTTGCAGGACACATCTTGTTCAAGGGCAAACTCCTCCGTGGAGACCCAAACAAGGTCGTCGACGCAGATAGGGCATGGCACGAGACGCCTGTTAGCTTGTTGTTGCATGTAGACTTGAGCCTTTTGCATGTTGGCGTGGGCTTTAACCAGCAAGTCCCTATACTTATGAACGGAGGTGGGAGAACAAGTGACGTTAATGTCGACCGTCCTTGGAAATGGAAGATCAGCAAAGATACGGCCTTTCCTGCGACCGTGGTGCAACTCAAATGGAGTCACACCGATGGCCGGGTGCAACGAAGTGTTGTAGGCGAATTCGATGTCGGGGAGGAGGTCCACCCAATCCTTCTGATCCGTGCGAATGAGTGTGCGAAGCATTACTTGAGAGGTTTAATGTGCCCGCTCCATCTGCCCGTCCGTTTGCGGATGCCGAGCCGAACTTGGTTTCATCCCGATGTCGGACTCTTTCACCTCCGACACCATGAAATTGGGGGGACCGGTAGCACATGTTCATTAGGGCTACGGGTAGTACAGTGTGGAGAACCGAAAGAAAAATGTGTTGAAATGCCTCTGTGATTTATCTCGTGGTTGAAGATTTTTTTTTTTGTTTTGCAACTTTTGCTTTAATATTTTTCCTGGAAACATCACCAGCATTTTTTTTTTTTTTTTTTTTTTTTTTTTTCAAGCTGACCGGCCCCAAGCAATTTTTTGAATTTGGACCATTTCTCGATTTATGTGTGTCATCCTTGCGCAGGGGCCATGCTAATCTTCTCTGTATCGTTCCAATTTTAACGGATGTCCTGAAGGACAAGCAGCAAATTTTTGGACTCTCCAATTTTCGGAGTCTTTGATGCATTCTTTCGAGTGGGAGAAATCACAGAAGGTATTTTTCCCGTTGGCCTACAAATGGCACTGTGGTAAAACTGGAATATGCAAGGAATCAGTGCGGCGATTATTTCACGGTCAACATGATTTATTTATTTTTTTTCTGATGTTTTTTCCTCAAAAGATCACGACCTAATATACCAATGCTCAGAATTTCAGAATTGTCTGTGAATTCTTCTGGCCGCGAAAAATCGTCAAAGTTGTCGCTTTCTAATTTCAGGACTAGACCCACCGTTTCGGCCTCCGGTCGCCGCCCTCCCTCAAAACCCGCCCGAACTCAAAGGGAGAGTCATTTCGGGATGGCGGAGGGAGTGGTGGTTTAAGGGAGGATAATAGTCATCACATCAGGGAGGAACAGGGGCATTTACCTGGTAAACCCACTCACGAGATCTAATCAGCGCACATTCAGATCAGGCACAAAGCCGCACAATGATCCAACTACACACAAAGGGGAACTCTTCCTCCATCCTATCAATGCACGGGAGACCAATCAAGACCACCACGAGAGTCATTCAAGACATTTGAGGAGTATGGTATGCATGAACACACTGGTGATCTCATAGCGGACGCTGCCCTGGTTACATTCCCGCACAGGTATCAGCTCGCCAGGGGAAAAATCAAGGACGGCTCCAGTCAAGGATTGAGAATCGTCCGTGTCATGTGCTGGTAGAAAGGGGTGTTTGGTACTACTGAACTCTGCTATGCATGCACGAACTGAAACAGACGGAGACTCACATCTGGCTAGTTACGCGCAAGGGAGGGGGGACAATCAAGACCATCGATCAGTCAACCAAGCACGCAGAAAGGGACTGTCGATCAAGAAAATGCTCTAACTGCAGATTGTTCCCGTGAGTAATAAGTCCATGCCGTGAAGACAAGGAAAGTGGTAACGCACATTCCCATGTTCTTGCTAAAGGTTCATCCGACGAGTGAACAGGCAAGGCCGTCGGATACGGCAATGCATCTTCCCATGTTCTAGGCGAAGGTTCGTTTTCTGTTTCCCCTCACCTGGAAGGTCGAAGTGCACAGAAGGCTCAAAACATCTCCATGTATTTTCCCATGTTCCTGCTGGTGGTTCATTCTCATTTTTCTCACCCGCGATACCGCGCACAACAAACAGCGAATTTGGTGGTGTATCTTCCCTTGTTCCCTCTACAGATCCATTCTGAATAACCATGCAAGGTTGCAGTGCACGGGCAGTGTATCATCCCATGTTCTAGCCGCTAATATGCGAGTGATCAGGAGCGCACCGTGATGAGCAGAAAAACATGGAACACGGACGTGCGTCTTTCCATCTTCTAGTTGAAGATACATTCACATTTCCCTCCTTGGCTGAGTAATCCAGCGAGGCCGCGCTGCACTGAAGACAGCAGATATCTGAAATCTCTGGACCGCCAGGGTTGATCAGAAGGGCAGCACAGTTGTACATGGACAACGTTCAAGAGGACGTCTTCCGGCTGTGTTTCTCATGAGCGCCACTGATTTCACCAAAAGACTCAAAAGTCCATTTTCACTGTCATGGCAGACATTTCGATTTTCTTGAAAGGGTAGCTCATACAAATATGAGTTGTGCTCTGTGAGCGCACCAGCAATGTGTTTTGCTGTGTGAGCAGACCAGCAATGTGCTACGTCGGTGCTATTTGGCACAGTAGTGGTCGGCTGTGTGAGCACCGCAGAAATGTCGGGTTGATACGCTGATACTATTTAGCACAATAGTAGTGTGCTCTATGCTGCGTGGAGGTGACAGCAGCGCACATAGTGGGTGTTGTTTGTCACAGTTGCAATATTTTGTGCGAATCCAAGGGCAGCATATTAAGTGGATATGAATTTGGGATAGTACCCTGATCAACGGCTTGGTAAGCAAAACTCAGAAAACAGTAGTCCCAGTAACTCACATTTCACAGACTCTGGTTGATTCGCGAAGTATCAAGAACTCAGCAGGTCTCCTTTAATGGTTCTGGTGAGCCAAAGCCAGCGAGCTGAGCTCTGAGAACTCGGAGATATAAGCTCAAAGACCTACTCAACCGAGCCCAAACTCGGTGGATCCTGACTCGTGGGTCACTGAAAGGAGCTCGAAAGCAATGCACACCAGGCTTGGATGCTGAGTAATAGCGGGCTCTAAGGCAGGAAAGTCTTGGCAGACTCAGCAGGGATGTAGCATACTGAACAGGGACTCAGTGGACTCAGCAAGGTAGACTGAGCCAGCTAGCCCAGCAACAGACCAGCAGACTGAGCAAGGGCCCAACAGACTCAGCAGCCTCAATGGAGAGTCAGCGGACTCAGCAGAGGGACAGCGGGTGGTCCTATTGTTTTGGATCCGGACCTTCCGGACCGGACGTCTGGAGTCCGGACTGAATCCAGACCGTCTGGACGGCGGTCCGGACGTCCGGATCGTAGCCATGATTTTTTCCCACACGAAGCCACGAGGCGCGTGTGAACGCGATTGAACGTGCGTGCAGGGATTGAACGCGGCCGTTTGAACGCGAACGCGCGTTCGTCTTGGTCAATCAGCAACATAGCGTGTGAGGGGTCACCGATATTCATTATGCACTCACAGGTCTGTGCGACCCATGTATGAAAATATATCTTGAAGAAAAAGACTTTTGTAGCTACTCACCGGAACGGTGGTCATAGGGGTACTACTCTCTCCTCCTCCTCCTCCTGACATAGAGCTCGGTGGTGATGGAATGGTCAGTGAGATTCTACCAGGATTCTAACTCATTGTCTGTGCATCATCAACAGGTAGACATGTGCCATTCATCCACCTGCGCTTGGTGGTGATGAAATTGTTCTTAGAAAAGGTTTAAAGACTTGAGATGAAACAAAAAACAGGTGGTCTCTGAAACGAAACCACACGTCTCTGGAAAACCTATTATGGACGTTCAAAAACATTGCACATACTTTGGGAGTCCTGAGACACACGATCCAAATGACTATAATGAGCACATGTATGTGACTGGACATACAGTCCAATGCATCTACAGCAATCCTAACTGCAAGGCACTGACCAACATCGGGGGTTGGCTTAAACCAACAATGCCTCCGAGCCTCTTTTTGCCGAGGCTAAAAAGAACTGTGCGGCAAGCTTCACCGACCCGCAAGCTCAGCACCTTTTTCTTTTGGCTGGTACCTCCAGCCATTCAGGTCCAGTAGACCCAAGCCTCTGAAGAGCCCGGAATGTCAAATTTTTTATTCTCAACATGGCCTGTGAAAGGTAGTGGTGGCTTAAACCACCGGTACCTTTCACAGGCGAGCTTTTGCGATGAAGTTGTCTACTTCCGCATTCTTCACCATCCCAGTTGTTTTTCAACTAGGTGTGCAGCACAAGTCCACCAGGGGGAAAAGAGGCTTGGAGGTATGTATATATAGTATATAGTATGCATCTTCATAAAGAATGCATCTTACTAAAGAACCGCACGTTGTGCAGCCATCATCCTTCTGCCTATCTCTGCTCAAGTAATGAGGCTCCGAGATAGTGGTAGTTTAATGATGCCGAGCCTAAATTCGCCCTGCGCACCAAAAAAAAACGAACTGATGCGGGCCTGCTTTTGGCCGGCACCGCCAGCCCTTTCACTCCGGTACCCAAACCCCCGCCAGCCATTTCAGTCTGGTACCCCAACCCCCGAATAATGTGGCTGTAAACGAGCCGCATATTTGTTTTTCAAGCGGGGAAAGGTACCAGTACCTTTCACAGGCAAACCTGAAACACCAAAATACCATACAGTGGCATATACCACATTCTTCGGGGGAACAGTGCTAGCAGAGCAAAACGGCTGGCGGCACAAGCCAAAAAAAAAAAAAAAAAGCATCGTCCTGGCGCTTCGGCAAAGCTTGGCGCCCAGTTCTTTCTGCCTCAGTAAAAAGAGGCTCAGAGGTAATGGTGGAAAAAAGAAAATGAAAATGAAAATGAAAAGCGAAATATGGAAAACCAGTTGAAACAGACCTGCTCTAGAATCAATCGTGCTGCGGTTCTATCTGCCGCACTTGGAGTTTCCATAAGAACCAGTCCGTCCAGAACCTTCATTGAAGGGAAAAAGAAGAGACAGAATGCTCATCACACAGCAACAACAAAAATTTAATGCAAAAGTTAACCTTGCCTGCCTTTTTTTATTTTGAAAACTTAATGGAGTCCCTCTTTCACTCACTGATTCAAATCCTGGCAAAATTACAATTTCCAACAAGAACGAGTCAAATTGAACAGTCAAGCAAATGCCTATATTACTAATATAATATTAGTTAGTTTAATTTTATCATTTAACACATTTATGTGCATCAACAGGTATAAAATGACTGTAAATTTGTGTAAAATGAGTGTACATTTCATAAGTTAAACAGTGCAATAAACACCATCATTAATTGAATTGAAACTTGAAAGCACAATGACCAATGCTCTTTTTTTCTTAAACAACTGCAGGAAAATAAAGGAAGCAAGCAACCCTGGCCTGCCCAGCCTGAAACATCAGGTCAACTGGGTCACAGCGACTCTGATCGACATATGCATTCAGTTTGGCGCAAGTATTCCTTTGTGTGCAAAGTTGCAAACCCATTTTCTGTTCTGTATTTCAAAATTTTCCCTGATACTGCGCAACCTAACTAGGGCATTGAAACCCAAAACGGCGAAACCATTTCTGTTGACCAACATTTTACTTGATACGGAGGAGTTTTTTGGTCTGACTCAACAGAAATGAGATTCAAGGGGGGAGCCCCCCCCCTTTGTAGCTGAAACGGTTTTCACCTTTAGCAGTAGCGAATGCAGATCCCAGGGCTCGATCCCTAGTTCTCACCTTACCTGTGTACAGTATCTGTGTCGACCCCGAGTGTTTGAACCCGTGACCTGTGTCTTGGCAGTTGTTGTTGTCTGTCATAGGTCTGTGTAGTGGTAGGGATTCGATCTCTAGGTCTGTCGAGTAGGGGTCACAGCTCTGTAGAGGTCATAGCTATAGGTCTACCGAAAGGTCAAGGTCGTAGCTGCTACAGCCCTGAAAGGTCAAGGTCGTAGCTGCTACAGTGCCCGAAAGGCCAAGTCCACAGACTTCCGGAAGGTCCCGGAAGTGGCCTTTCGGAGTGGGCTCATGTTTAGGCAGAGGCAAGTGGTCAAGTGGTGGAGCCAACCTCAGTATGTTGGCAGTGTGACTGCAGTGAGTCTGTGGTGCAAACCCATGCAGTCAGTGGTACCGGTCCAGTCAGTCCCAGTCCAGTCCAGGGCAGCAACCGTTTTTCAGCGCACGATCTACTTGAGGATGACGAGGAGACCCTCGCAGAGGATCCTTCTCTTGATGACGATCAAGAGCAAGGCTGCGAGGCATCTTGCTCTTCGTCAGCCCATGAGTCTGAGTGTGTGAATGATGATGAATCTATGAATGCCTTAAAAAAGACTGCCTTCAAAAGTAAGGGACCGAGGACCACGACGAAGGACAATACTAACACTATTCTTTTTCCCAAGGGAGTGAAGATTTCACCCAAACCGGAAGATCCTGCCACAAAACCATGGGTAGATCTCCGGATCAGTGAAAGTGAGTGGAAACACAGGGTGAAGAAAGGGGTTTGCCTGCATTGCACCAAACCGGGACATTCGGTCCAACATTGCTTCAGATTGCAGCAGGGAAACCAGCAACGGGGGTAGAGACATCATCAGCACACTCTACAGATGGAGAGGCTGAACATGTAAGTGCAGATCCTTCTCTGGATTTTGATCCCACTCAGCAAACCTCTTCTGAGACCCCATCTGATATTGATTCCAAGGCTGAGAAAATACACATCCTATACAAGGAGCCTTGGGTAGAGTCGGAAGAAATTGACTTCCATGCTCTGTTGACGTGGTGGGCTCATATGAAGCAAGAACGCGAGCAAGGGAGAATGAAGTTGATCTTCTTCAAACTCTACATTAATGGTCGTTACATCCGTGCGTTGGCTGATTGTGGTGCAACCGCCAACTACTTCTCACCGCACGGCATTCGTAAGGCACGCTTGGGGATGAAGCAAGTGACTTTGCAGAATCCTTGCCCGACCCAAGTAGGCAACCAAGAGGTTGTCACCTCTACGCATGCAGTCAAAGGTGTGCGCACTACCTTTGACGCAGACCACACAATCACGCATGAACTGAACTTCTATGTCCTTGATCAGTGCCCCTTCGACGCGGTTATTAGCTTGGGCTGGTTGCAGGCCCAATGTGAAAGAACCACGTGGAAGGACTCACAGTTCATGGTCAAAGATGCCATGGGAATCGAGCGTCCAGTCCTCTTGGATGAGCCGCGCGAGTCCCAAGTAACTTTTCTCAATGCAATGCAATTCTGCAAAAAAGTGGCGCAGGCGCAAAGTTGATGAGCAAATGTATATAGCCTTTGTTAGGCCTGCTCATGTGCCTTCTATTTTTGTTGTACATAATGATTCTACTTTGCATGCCGTTTCTACTTCTGAGGCAACTACTTCTACCTCTACCAAATCTACTTCTAGTCCAAATGACTCCACTTCCAATTCTGTTGTGTTGGCTGCACCTATGCAATCTGGTATGCTTGCACCTGAGAGTGATGATCCACCTCCGGAGATCCCATCATAAATTTGCAACCTTCTCAACCGATTTCCATAAGTCTTGGGCGAACCGCATGGAGTTCCTGTACGTCCGGTCCAACACAAGATCGAGTTGATTGAAGGTAGCACTTCTCCAAAGGGCTGTGTCTACTGGATGGGCTCAGGCGAATTGGAGGAGTTGCGAAGGCAGATTGATGATATGATTGGGAAGGGATGAATCAAACCAAGTGAGTCTGAGTTTGGTGCACCAGTTCTGTTTGTCCCTAAGAAAGGAGGCAAACTACGGATGTGTATTGATTACCGCGGATTGAATCGAATCACAAGAAAGAATGCATATCCTTTGCCACGTATCGATGATTTGCTTGATGCTGCAAGTGGATGCAAGGTCTTCAACAAGATCGATCTCAAGTCTGGCTACCACCAGATTGAAGTCGATCCTGCAGACCGGCATAAAACTGCATTCAAAACTCGCGATGGGCTGTACGAGTTTACAATCATGCCCTTCGGTCTCACGAATGCGCCAACCACCTTCAAAGTCTTATGGATAAGGTATTTCGCAATCAGATCAACCGATTTGTTGTTGTACATCTGGATGACATACTAATCTTCATGGCCTCAACCGGCGAATGTCCGTGAGTTGCGTTCTTTTCTTGGTCTTGTGTCGTACTACCGTAAATTTGTGCCAAAATTCTCTATCATCGCCTGTCCGCTGTCTAGACTAACAAGGAAGAACGTGTCCTACACATGGAATGAGGAATGCACGACAGCCTTCGAAACACTGAAAAAGGCTTTGGCGAGTCAACCGGTGCTCCGCATTGCAGATCCCAAACTTACATTTGTAGTAACTACAGATGCAAGCTTGCATTGGATTGGCGCAGTGCTGCAGCAAGATGACGGCGATGGCTTATGTCCGCTGGAATATTACAGCAAACGCATGCCTAGTCACAAGGTAGCTGCTTCCACTTACATGCGAGAACTTTATGCCTTGAGAGAGGCACTAGATCATTGGAAACACTACCTCTTGGGTCGTCATTTCAAAGTGTTCTCAGATCACGAGACTTTGAAATGGATTCAGACACAGATTAATCCCTCAACCACATTGACCTGCTGGCTGCATGAGATTGATGTGTATGATTTTGAGCTCAAGCACAAGAAAGGCTGTTACAATCGTGTTGCGGATGCTTTATCTCGCCATCCTGAGTACATGACTTGCCTTGTGGGTTCCTATGATCTCCGTAAGAATTTGAAAGAGGAACTTATTGAACATACTGCCAAGGACCCGGAACTCAGTCCCATCCTTGAGCAGATCCGGGCTAACCCTAGCAGCCAGCCTGATTTCCATGAATGTAAAGGCATACTCTTCCGACGCTACGGGAAACATGATCGATTGTGTGTACCCAACCATAAGCTGATCCTTACTCATTTCTTGGATTTGGCTCACGGCCAGAGTGGACACTTCGATGTTGAGAAGACATGCGGAAATCTGTTGGAAAAGTTTGTGTGGCCTGGAATGAAAAGAATGACACATAGCCTAGTTGGCCAGGTGTTAGGCCAGGTGGCTGTTCCGGGAACCGATAGGATAGAGGATTGCGGATTTTCCATCCGAGGTGCAGCCGGTTAGGCGTCATCCCAGTGGAGGAGTGGATGGAGTTGTTATACAACCCCTGCACAATCAGCAACTCCTCATCCCAAGAGTTTTGGTCAGGCACGATAAGAGCCCTGAGAAGTTGGATTACGGTCTGGTTCGATCGTTTGCTTAAAGTCGTTGTCGCAGCTATGGAAAGGCGCTGCAGTGCCATGATTAAGCATACAAACAAAAAGCGCCAGCCTGAGCCCTTCACCATGGGAAGTTATGTCTGGGTCAAGATGTCTGAGTTTTCTGAAGAAGAAGGCGTATCACGGAAACTTCTTCCTCAGTACTACGGTCCCTGGAAGGTGTTGAACCGAGTAGGTAATGATTCCTTCGGTCCTTCCTACACGATTGATGTGCCTGCTCATCTGCGCACATACCCAATCTTTCACGCATCAAAGTTATTTCCGTATGAGCCACTTGAGACCTTCAAGTACCGAGAATCGATGATTCCCCGTCCAATCAATGGCGGTCACGACGTTGATAGAATCGTCGAGCACAGTGGAAAAGGGAGAAACAGGCAGTATAAAGTGCATTTTTTGTACCACCCACTGAATGACTTCTACTGGATCCCTAAGAAGGACTTACTGCAGAGTGCACCTCACGTCGTTAACGCCTATGAACGATTAATAAATTCTGACCAACAACCAAAATTCACTGCTACCCTAACTCCTAAGGAACACACCCGATCTCTTTTCGCTATCTACGCCTACGATGCATTATGCAAGGACTCTGATTGAGTTACTCGCTCGAAAGGACCTCGCTCTTGAGGGGGGGGTAGTGTAATGACCCGTCATAACAAAGACTGAGAACACTGCTGATTTCTGAAGTTCTGCTGATGGAATGGATGCCTTGCCGTAATTCCCGCATTCTGCTGTGTTTTCTAAGTCTGTGTGCGTGTGTGCGTGCCTGTGGACTTGCGTGCCTGTCTGAGTGCTTATCTGGCTGAGTGTGTGTGTGACCCGGAA